GGATTCACATACATACATAGATGTACTCATGCAGCAGAATTTGGGTAGATATTGAGGTAAACAGGAAGGGATCTACGGAGTATTGATTTGAAGCTACTGATATTTCTATACTACTGGTAAGAATGGAATGGTATCCCACAGTGCTCTAGTTCCATGGATCTATTACTGCAGTGAGGCTATTTTGGTAGGTAGATTTCAACTCCCGAGTCTCCCCAGGCAGGAGATACTCAACGCCGAGCAATCAATTGCATTGTAATTTGGAACATATCTATCAACTTAGTGATAAAGGAGATCGCCACATTCCAGAAGATGTCGCCTCGGGATTTGTGGATACGGACTATGCGTGGAATCAGGGCGCAGAATTCAATCAGCTGGCGGTGGTGATCTGTCACTTTTCGCCTTCCAGGTTTGCCTCGTAAGCCCATCGAGAACCGGCTCTATGTAGGGCACCACGGAGTATGGAATGAGTCCTTAGGCACGAATGGGGAAGTAGATATACATTTGCACCAAGTAACTTATGCATGAAAAAGCTCTATCTATCAGAGTATGATCTTCTCAGAGTTAGGAGTGAGTTGGGGGAACGGCCGAAAAGCACTGGACGGGACGGGAGGTAGATGAGATGTGTCATCGTCTCAGGTACAAGCGACATTCTAAACATATGATGCCTGCATTTGATCAACCGCAAGAACCATCTCCAGTACGGCTTGGTGTCTACGGCTTCAATTCGCAGTGTCGAGAATGAGCCATCCCCTCTGTGGGCGGTTAACCTACAAGGATGGCGAGCTACTTACTAAGTACCTGGTTATCTACCTTTCTTTAAACCAAACAAGAAGCAAGGCAAACTTACCATGGATACGTAGCCGACCGAGGAGGATATACATACAGACAATGCTATTGACAATCATCCTGAACCTCCCACATGGATCACGATTCGGATTACCTCGTACAGTCGGAAAGACAGTGCTCGGCACCCGCATTCCTTGTGGCTGAAGCATCGGTAAAGTCCGTTAAAAAAAAAAAAAAAAAAAAAAAAGAAAGAAAGAAAAAAAGAACATACAAATACTGAAAAAACCACGTGTGAAAGGCTCAGGATTATGGGAAATGATTGTGGTATGGTGAGATTTTTTAGACTTTGATTCTGCTATCGAATCTAAGACAAGGAACTGCATCAATGATTCGTGGAAAGTGGTATAATACTGGTATTGGCGACAATCTACCTGAGAATATAGGCAGATACCTAGGTAGCTAAGATGGACTACGGGACTACGAAGTCAGCAGGTACGGTAGATAGACTGGCAGAGATGGATGGATGGCTTACCAGTTACAACTTCTTCGGGGGAGTGCCGATCTCTATGGAGAGGTACTTCGTAGCATGTATGGAATACTTCATACTACAGTACTGTCTAGTATCGAATTGCTATCACTCACTGTACGAAGAGGATCTTTTGCATATCATCTCTGATGGGTGTTGGTGGTGGTAGGTACGCTGCTCAAATTCTCGAAACATCGCCAGAAGACGCCTCGTTGTACTGGTGCATTTGCAGCCTATTACTAGCTGAGGTATAGATAGGCCTACTGCAGGTAATCAGCTATCGCGACTGGATGGAGAGAAATTACTCTTCCAGGTGTGACCCTGTCCAGTCAAACCATTATTTGATAAGTCGCCATTTCACCATAATAATCACCCCCCCCCAGCTCATGATGCAGGGAAGTCCATAAAGGAATCTAAATTGTTGACAGGCTAAATTTCTCCATCCACTGGTAGGAGTTTCAACCACTAAATGCTTATATGCTGTGTGGTACAGAAGTTGTACGCCCGGTACCAACCTTTCAAAAAAAGCCACCCCTTGGTCCATGCCATCTGTCAATTCCGTGCAATGTCTTTGCTCGGTGTCCAAAGACTGTCTGAGTAGAGAGCTAGTTTAGTCCCCCTCTTCACTTTCTCCTCCATTGAACCTTAAACCAACATCTTATGATTCTTAAAAAAAGACATTCATGACTCGGTCTCATCCTCCGTGAGCGCCGAGCAGCCTCAAGCCTGTCAGATATACAAGGAGCGTCTGTTTCAGTACAATACGACCGATGGATGGTATCATATTCATGGGGTACGCTATTATTACTATTACCGAAGTAGGTAGTTACCTATCCATATCCATACCCTACCTACCTAGGTACCTAACTAACCTGGGTTGAAAAGGTTTGAAACCGTATCATGCATACAATACAAGCAAATCGGACAATCAAGACGGGTATGTTGTTTTGCGCCATGCAGTGGACTAGACCCAAAACATGCTAGCTTAAGTCTCTTCCAAGGCCAGGCTTGAGGCGAATTTACTCACTCCCGATCTCGTCTGGATCGCCATTGGTTGAAACTTTCCTCCAGTCTCAGAAAGGTTGGGCCTAAGGCACTGGGGAGTCCAGATGGATCCCTCTGATCCCCGCCAAATAACATTGACCGGAACACTGTTCAGTAGGTGATACTTGCCTAGAACCCTTACGTACTAGCTTCCTCGGACAGCCTCTTTAGTGCCTGGTAGATTGGTATTCGTTACTGTTAGCAGGATGTACTACTATGTACATATATAGTCAGTCAGCTAGTTAGGTGAGTACAGGAGTAGATAGCTGGGCCTAGGTTGGGCCTACGGAGCCGTCTAGAGTAGATATCTGCTCCTAGGACTGGGGCGGTGGGACTCTGAGAACGTAAAGTAACTACTAAAGTGACTAAATTAGTGTTCCATAAATTAACCTCTTACCCCGGTCATCCAATCCCAACAGGCAACGGGTCTGTCTGACTATGGAGTTGGGAATTGGGATCAGTATCGACTTCTCTCCAGGGAGGAGAGGAACCGAAGTTAGTACCGATTGAGTAGGTAGAGAAAGACCTACTCTAGTACGAAAGATTCCGTATGTAGCAGGTACTCTTACACAGAGGAGTATCAATTGACGACCCTTTTGTATGACCATCGATTGTTCATGTACCTTGAGTATTGTACCGGGTATCTTGTGTACAAACCACTATGGAAGTAGGTTAGGTCCTAGTTGATCCCTAAGTGTCTATGGGTTATAGAGACAATAGTAATCTGACCAGAATGATGAAAGGCATTGATGATCATCATGGTCTTCCTCACCAACCCTGGAACATAGGATAGTGCTCCCATGAAAATTAAAAATACCCCCGAACTACATCCTTGCTAGGTCCTTCGTTCACACCTCCCATCACCGACATGTTCTCTGAGAGCATTCCTCTCTTCTTCATCTGGCCTGGCCTATCTGGGCACTACTAAACATCCAAAAAGATGGTCCTCACTAAATGCCTACTCTACCACAGTACCGCAGTACCACTATCTTCTACCCTGCCCACTGTGGCCCAAAATGGCTGACTCGAGATCTGGAGTCCTTCCTATCAGCAGCCATTAACCTTCCGGGGTAGGCTGCCAAGTCTGGTGTCCACCTAGATAGCCTTGGTCTCTGGTTATTGGCCTCAGGCAACTTGTACGCTAATGAGACTAATACTAGTGACAACGGAGTACTGCTACTAATACTACTACTACTAATAATAATTTTAAATTTAATATGTCGATGGACATTATTATTTATCGATAAAAATACACACTGTACAGTATCTTCTGTTTTGTTCATCCAAGAGAGCAGAGGGAATAAAATAAAATAAAAAGGAGACTGCAAAATTAAAAAAAAAAAAAAAAAGGAAAGAAATAGAAAATTAAGAACAACAACTTGACCATCCAGTCCCTCTTAATTCTCACTCCATTTTCCTTATTACCTCCCCCCTTTCCATTCAATAATATCTGAATAATAACCTCTTGTATTTTTTTTTTTTGCCCTTCTTTGAGTTTGTTCCTGTGCTCTATTATATTCTCTATCGAGATCAATCATCCAGAGTGTTCTTATTTATCTCTTGTACCGCCTGGCCTGACAGCCAGTCTCTCTCTGTGCCATCAGAGTCTAAGAGACATCCGCCTGTATCACCTCCAGAGCGATACAACTTACAACTCCACCCGACCAAACACCTTAATACTGGTTGAACTATTTGTTGTTGCTTGACTATATAACATCAACTATTGCTACCGTCGGCATCACAACAATCACTCATAATACCACTCTTAACGAGCGCTCCAGCCCAAGCCCCATGGCATCGTCTCTCCCTATCCCATCCTCAACTGAAACCCTCCTATCTCGTTTTTCAGCGATGCGTCCGACTTGCTGAACGCCAGTGCTCCACCTTCGATTATCGACACTGCATGTCTCCAACTTTCAGCCAGCATCGTCCCATCATCCACTACCGACTGACTGACTGACCTCTACTCTTCTGTCTCATCTCCTCCTCCATTTCTCTTTCACTCTCTTCTCTTCTCATCATCTGCTGATCATCACGCCGTTCATTAAGCCCTCATAATTTGGATCTCTTCTTGATCTCGTCTATCTAAACCCCTCATCTCTCTTGTCTGTCATCCTTTGTCGATCCCACTTCTAGAAACTCAGTTTCCATATCAATAGCAGAGTCCACTCTAATACGCAACGCTTTTCCCATATCAGAAACGTCGCTACCTTTTTGGATTTCCTGTCTGTTTTTGACGATCTCAAGCTGTATCACAACCCCGCCCTGTCTCTGTGGTCGTTGTCCCCACAGGATTTTGGATATTCTTTGCTCTTATCTTCCTCCATTGTACCAATCATGGCACCAGGCAGTGGACGCGATTTCAATTGCTCATGGGAGCACTGTGGAAAGGTAAGCTACCATCTCTTCTTTCCCCATTCGCTGGTTGAACAATGTCGGAGCCGAGTATGAACCCGTTTGCGCTAACCATTTGTCTTTATTCCAAATCTGCAGTCTTTCAATCGTAAATCAGATCTCTGCAGACATTATCGAATACATACCAATGAGCGACCATATCATTGTACAGTCAAGGACTGCAACAAAAGCTTTATCCAGCGCAGTGCACTGACAGTACACTCGAGAACACACACTGGCGAAAAGCCTCATGTCTGTGACCATGAGGGGTGCCACAAGGCTTTCTCCGATGTAAGTACCGACTGTCGTCTACTTCGCTGGACCAACAATGATCCTCTAAGAGCCATCGCTGACTGTCGTTGCAGTCTTCCAGTTTAGCTCGTCATCGCCGGATTCACACTGGCAAGCGGCCCTATATCTGTCAGGAGCCCGCCTGCGAAAGAAGGTGAGAGATTCTGTCACTGGTTCAAGACTACGAGACTTCTAATGTTTCCCTTCTAGCTTCTGTCGCAAAACTACTTTAACTAAGCACCAGCACCGCTCCCATCCACCAGGAACGATGACCCGGCCACCGTCGGAGGATGCAGTGTCTGAGCAATCGTACCAGACTCCTGTCACCGCTCCAGTCTCAAGCGACCAATACCTTCTCACACAACAGCCATACTACCACCAACCTTCGACCCCCAGCCAGGACTTCTATCCACAACAAACCATACCAATGACACACATCCCTGTACACGATACCCCGCCAATAGTTGCGCATACCATCCCGGTCACGTCGGCGCTTGACTTACAGCATGCGCAGCAACAGTACATGCAACAATTTATGCAGCAACAGCAACAGCAGCAGCATCAACAACGATTTGATCCAACCCGCCAAGGCTATATACCACCAGAATACCAGCAGCAGACGTTTGTGCCGCAGCCAATTGTCGAAGGACATCCTATGATGGCTTCGTACAACCCGAATTTCCAGTACAAACAACCGACGCGCATCTTGAACCAACCCGAAGGAACGGACTGGAGATTCCTCGGAGTTGGTTAAAATTTGTTTGGCTCCAACTGCGAGGCTGTTTGAAACAGCCACATGTGTAGTCTCATTGCTGCGGCGCAATTATATTGATGGCATGGATACCCAGGCATAATTTGGCCGAGCACGCTTCTCTCTGCTCTGTGTTTTCTGATTTGCTAGCACCCGTTCTACAGTCGGGAACTAAAATCCCTACTACGTATCATCTTGACGCTGATCACGACGTTCTCATGCACTCTCGTTTTAGCGCCGATTTCTTGCGAATCTTGTTGGGCAACTGTCTTTGGATTCTTTTTGTGTGTTCTGGGATTGTCTATGATGATCGATTCTGTTTACTTTTTTTTTTCTAGTGTGCCTTGCGACTCTGACCTTTCCTATTTGATTCCCCCATTAAAAGGCTGGAGAGGCGTTCTGTCCTTATAGTTGATACCATAAGTGCCATGATGGCCGGAATCTTATTTTCATCAAGTCAATCTGGACTGACTGTTTGCTTTCAATCTCGAGTCTCGACTTCTAGGTCCCGCATCTGTTGGTGATGGTGTTTGGTTGTCTCTCTGAGAATTCTAGCAGGTATCAAGACCGATTTTAGAACGTATCTTCCTAGTACCTAGTATCGCGAGCCGATCCGAGTGATGATCTTGAATGGCAGCAGGGATATGTCCTCCCAAGCCATCGATCCATTGGCCGCGGATAATATTTCAGGTGACAGTTTTTTTTCCCTTGAATTATGAAACCGCTAGTCACCACGTATGAGATTTGTCGATCCCCACATGCAAAAGAATCGCCTCTACTCCGTATCTTTCTTTCTTTCTTTTATGCAAATAAATGAGATTTCAGATCATCAAAAGAATCCCTCCTCATATGGCTCTCACCAAAAAAAAAAAATATCCTTTTCCTGTTTACAGTTTTTGGAGGCACTAGGCATTAGGCAACCCATGTTGATTCGTAAATTTATGTTATTATTAATGAGGTTACAGAAAGTCAGGGTCGAAGTGGGGAAATTCCACACCAGACTCTCAATCGCGGCTTCGCGGCGGGCTCACCAGTGACCAGTCACCTCACTCCTCAGTCCTCAATTCTCACAAGTTGGCAACGTCAGCCAAGGATCGACATGTCGGGAACGGTTTGTGGCTCCCGCTAAGATAGTGTGATGAATTTATGGAGACAAGGAGGGATGGATGATGGATGATGGACTCCGTCGGTAGATAGCTAGCTTTTTCTTTTTCTTTTTTTTCTTTTTGTGTGTGTGTGTGTGTTTTCCCTGTGTGTTTTGTTGTTTCGGGGTTTTGAAGAGTGGGAGGGAGATTGGAGAGAGTTCTTATTGCTTAGAAAACCAAAAGTCCAGACAGAAATCAAAACCCAGCTCGTGAGAAAGCCGACCATATGCATTCCCACCAAGAATGGTAAATCCAAAGAGTCACGACTCACGAAGTGCAAATGCACCACCCCCGCCACCAGTATGTGGCTTACAGCGATCGACAACACATACAATCGTGGCGAGTGCAGAGGTTGTTGGATAGTCATAGGAGACTTAGGAGTAGATAGATAGTTACCTCAGTATGGAGTACAGACGACCAACCGTCCAAAACGGTATTTGATCGCACAGGTTACTCGAAATGAACAAAGTTATTCTTGAGTCAAGACTCACCTGATCCTCGCTCATAGAACGGGTATTATTACTATAAGAATCCATATCCCAGTACTACTAGAGAGTTCTTGGAAGGCAACGGCTACGACTACGAGGCGAGGAATCCGGTCCTCCAGGATCGGGGCTGTGATGCTGCGAGCTTGTGGGGACGAGGGGGCAGGGGGGGAGAGAGAAAGAGAGAGCGAGACACGGATAACACATCTGAGGGAATCGGGTTTTCTGGTTCGTTTCGTGTTTCCGTGGACTGTTTAAAAATGAGACTGATTTGGTGTCCGTAATCCGATGGCCCAGGGGGCATCCAGGGGTGCTCTCTTGATTCTAGAGACGGAGGGTCATATAATGATACAATCATATAATGGATTATGGAGTAGTCCTCGAGGTGAGCTTACGGACACTAGTAGTACCTAGGCTCGGGAATAGTCAGGTAGCTAATTAAGGATGATGACAGGGATGAGCTCCGACGGTATATTGAACCGACTAGGTACTCCGTCCCATTCGATGATTCTTGATAGGTGATAGGAGGGATTATGCCGGGGAGAGTGAGGTATAAAAAGTAGGTAAGGTAGTATTGAAAATCCCGCCCGGCTGACATCCATGTTGTTCTGGTTTTATGCTAAAGTATAATGCGGGATCTACTTATGGGGTACGGTGTACAGGCTGGATACCGTATGCCAATAATGGAATCGATTCCCAGCTGACAGGAGTCAACAGTGGTAAGCAAGAACCAACCCAATGGGAAGACTAGATACCTGACCTCGGGTGGGCAAAATCAGACAATAAATAGCTTAGAAGTTGAAAGTAAAGCAAATTATGAACCAATTGGTTGTTACTTGTTAGATATGCCTTCTGATCGGGTAAACTACGGGTACCTACCAGGACTTCATTGGATAAGGAACTGATTAATCCTTTTCGTACCTAGGTATTAATTTCCACTAGGATCTGAAGCCAAGGAAGGTCAACCCGTGATGGATGAGAGAAGGAGTTGGGAAATGGATAGGAATACGGGGTCGATACTACCTTAGTTCTTAGGCGACTTGTTAGTAGTAGTAGATAGTTATAGAGCAGTAATGAGGCAGAGAATACGGTGTATGTACAGAGGTCTAGAATCCATGTGGGACTGGCGGTGACTGTTTCACAACAGGAGATAGCCTAGGAGTGAGGAATAATAGCATCACATATAGGGGGTTATTAGATCTAAGCACGATGGCATCATAAACCTAACACGTTTGCGACTTGTATCCATGGGATGAAGGGATCACAGGGTGCTAGTTGCTTACATCTATCTACATGGTACACCTGAGGTCGGTCCTCCTTACCTCCATTCTGTTCAAAGACGCAAATATGGCTCAGACAGGGATCATCGACGTTGTCATGAGGTGCCAGGAGACTACATATTGAAGCTCATTCGTTCCCGCTTCCTGGTGACACGAGAAGGATGCTGTTACTAGTCGGCTGGCTGGGCACTGAAGTGACAGGATGACAGCGATAGCTAGCTTTATTTGCGGTAGTGGTCTGGGAACTGGGGGCCGAATCGAAATCGCGGGGTTCCTGTCAATTTCTATGACACTGGAAAAAAGTTCAATCGATTAATATTCACTGATTTTGAATCCGGGAATGGCCTTGCGGTCTGGTTGATTAGTGATTGACTAGCTGCAGAGTATCGACCGTCCTGAGATTGCTCTCCTCTTTTTTTTTTTTTTTTGGTGCTCGAGATGTAGACTTGTCCGCGAAGACTACCTAGAGTCAGGAGGTAGTCCGTAGCTCGTATGGCGAGTTAAATTAACTTTGCGAGGTTATCCATGTCTATAAGTATTGATAATATGCATAACCAGGCTACACCACCAGTCCATTGCGGATTGATTTCTGATACAGGAGAGAGTCATCTGCCCATCCCGTGCTCTGCAGCCTGTGCTGTTCAGGATCCATTTTCAATGATTTCAATCCACTTTTCTAGAAGGGTGAGCTACTCCAAATCCAAAGGGCCATCGGCTTGCCGCGGAGATGGTCGCAGTGTCACATCTTCCACCGCTGAAAATCTGGGTCCAGAATGCATTCTCCATCTCCATTTCCATGTTCTGGTCTGTTCTGGGCTATGAGATAACGCCAGGAGTAGGCTACCTACTTACCGAGTGACCCCCAGTCATCACCGTCCCAAACTTTCATCCTCCCTCCTCAAGAGTTCAATCAATCAAGCCCTCTCACAATACATGATTTGTTTCCCCCACAGTGAATAATACCCTAGATAGGAGGTACCTAGGTACATACTCTGTACGCTTAGGTTCTATACTTGTTTATCACTTTCCCCCCGCCAATCATCATTCGGAGTTTGAGTACGAATTCAAAATGACGCTGACGCTAGACAAATCAAGAAAGTGGTCTTTGCAACTTAACCTAACTCTTGGTAGGCAGCCTCTGTAGGTAGTCTCTAGTCTCTACAAACCGTAAACTCTGAAGTATAGCACCCCAATCTCCATCCGTCCCTGATGGTACCTGGTTTACAAAGCCACACCGGTTTCCCTACGGGCAATATTTTTGAGCTGCAAGGATCGAAGTCAAAAGGATCAAGCCTAAACTAGGTTGTCTTTTTTACACAAACCCAAAGAAGGATCTCAATAAGGGTACGATGCCATGAGGAGTTGCTTACTGGCCTACTGAGATCTACATGGCAACCACTGAGGTTACTACACCGGAAGTCAGTTGTTGCAAGAAGCACTCTGTGATTGATAGTTATCTACATAGGAGATATCATCGTACCTTTGGGATGGCTGATCGTTCTTCTTACTGACGTCTGACTACCTCTGCCCTGATAGCTAATACTTGACAGTGACACGCGTTCACGATGGCCAATTGAGTACCATCGAGCTTCCCCTCCCGCAGGCTGCTCGGAAGATTCGACGCATCGGAACAACGGCACAGCTAACGTACATGAGAAAATAGGACAGTAGTATACGAGCTCAAAGCCTGAAGCAGGAAAAGTTTCCCGGCCAGCGGGGTCACAATGGCTGGGTCTTGGTATTTGGGAGGCGTCGAATGGGGAGACTACCAAAGCAGCATTTGTCAGGGTTGCCTTTTTGACCCTGAGGAAGAGGAGCTGTCTTGTTGATTATTGATGCTGAGGAGATAGAAGGTATGGGTTATTGCTGATATCCCAAACTCTGATTGGAATAGGGTGCAAAGAGCTTGGGCCATGGACTGGCCAGGAATGAGGAACCTAGGCCGCCATTGTATGTACTACGGACTACGAAGTAGGTTTTTGTTGATCTCCCAAATCCCAAATCCTAGGTCTGCTCTCGAGCCGTCGAGCGGTTGAGCCCACCCGTCAAGGTTCGAAAGAGCTGGCTCTAAATCCGATTCTGAAGCTTAGAATTGGGTCCCTGCCACTTAAACTTCAAGCCAGTCCCATGGGTTTGACTATTGTGAAGTTTATGACCCACAATGTTATCTCTCGGGTCCTTTTCTTTTCTTTTTTTTTTTTTTTTTTTGTCTGATGGGTGGATGGCTGAGTCGCATAAGTTCTGGTATTACCATTAATTACCCTTACAGCGGTGTATGGACCGTAAAATAAGTACCTAAGTATTTATTACAGTCTGATACATCGTTACGTACGCAGGCTTCCCACGATACACCAACAACCAACTTCGCGATGCTCGAGTCTCCTCAATACCTTACCCATCAAACTCAAAGAGCATCGTTTTTTGGCATCATATCCTCGTATGACTTACTCTGGGTGACTGAGCTTCTTGATTATGCACTGATGTCAGAGGTTTCGCGATGACATCGTCGAATATTTTCCATCACAAGTTAGGAACCTAAATCAATAGCCACCCTCAAAGTACATCTCATTTCTTACTGGGACTTGCGAGGCTGTCACCCACATAAGGACCAATCTCCTCAGTTTTCATCAGTTTTGTCGCCAGTTTGCCACAGGACTACGATGTATCCTCGGAGTATCGTCTGAATGGCTACATCTCGTGTGCGCTAGCTTCCATTCTATAGGTACACAGGGGTCACAGCCATAGAAAGCACATGCCTAGCATGCCGCGGGGAAACTCCTGAGAGTTTCCCTCGATGGCCACAGGTGGCAACTGGTATTCCAGCTGACTGCACAAACGTTGTCAGTTCTTGCAGAGACATCATGCAAGACAGGTTCGTGCCTACTGTTTTCTGGAACCCTCGCAGAGTGGTCCCCTGCCTGGAGCATGCCTGATGGACAGCATTTCCTGTCCAGGTTGAAAAAGTCATTTGGTTTGCGAACAAGGCTGACGGCGTGTATTCGATCTGGAACCTTGGGAAATCCTATTACAGTGTACACTTTCTGCACGCCCCCATACTTCGCCCACCCGCTGGCCAGAAGCATTGCTCATCCATGATTTGACGACTCGGGGATAGGCATACGAGGGCCGGGCGTTGCTATAGTGCCTTTCCAGGCCCAAAGTACTGTCGACGATCCTAATTCTATTTAGTTGCTTGTGTCCTAAGGACTGGTCTCCAGAGGACGGACGGTTCTCACCCTATGCCGTGGCGTTAGATCTACCATCTTGTTTGAGTGGCGCTGCGAAGTATGCTCGATGTGCCCCATGCCCCTAGGGTCTAGTGTACCAATGTTGGGAACTTGGAAGTTTGGGATGGCGAATCTCACATTAGTCCGCACGTCGTGGAGTCCAAGCAACTTCTTCTGGTCGGGGGTATGTGTCTGCGAGTATGGACCACAAAGCCGTGGGGCGTTGTACCGGGGGCTATATACGCGCTTGACGGAAAAGAAATCCGGGCATGGGGATCCCCACGCGAGTATCTTGAGTCTCTTGTGTAGTTCTACCACGCCTCTACCTATTATTCTTTGACGCTTGAGGTGAACTATAGCCCCAATGGACCCAGTACCGGATTTGGTTCCAAGAGGCTGAGCAGCTGTCAACCGGTCGGCTCTGCTCTGTGCTCCCAGCAACAGGGGAAAGTCTGGAAAAGGGTTACACGGTAGTTAGTCAGTGCTCAGTAGACATAGACTATTGATTTATCCACAGTAGTATCGTAACACGATTCCGTGATTGCTGTCTGCTCCACTCTGAACTCTGATTCTGGAGGACAACCGTGCCGTTTGAGCTTTATACTTTGTGGCATTCTAGTACGGAGTACCCCCTGTAGGAGATGGGGGTATGCCCGTTCAGTCGGCAACTATCTAAGCATAGCTATAGTACGGAGTATCAAAGGTAGATGGGGATATGGGGTGGGAGACTACAGGCACCACCCCGGTACTCTGTGCGAACGATGGTATACCGCGGGGGCCATACAAACAAGTAGCTGGGTTGTACATGGTCGGTCTTCAGGGACGAAGAAAGGCATTGTCTGTCCCAGGACCAGGTTGTAGGTACTAGGTAGTAGTTTCAGATACCCATTCCAGGGTACTGCTCCACGAGGTACCTAGCGGAGTATGGATGATAGTATCTACTTAGTAATGACACTATCAGATGAAAGCGACAAGCTGGTCAATCGGAACCTTTGAGTGACATACTAAGACTCCTTCCATATCTGACCTAGTAGGGAGGAGTAGGGATGAGGTAGGTAGGTAGGTACCTTAGTGTACCATAGGTACAAAGTAAGGTACTCCGTAGATACCTACTTCCATCTTGTATCTTGCATTTCATAATCCTTCACTCTCTTTTACAAATTTGCAAAAACATCCTTCTAGCGCACCTCCACTACTACCTAATAACATTAACAGTATTTACCAACACCTACTTCGGAGTATACAAAATACTTCAATCATCCTCTGATCTTCACACTACAAAGTACTCCATACTACGAGAGTAGTAAACTAGTAATCCCGTATTCCCATACTCATAGACCCATCCACATCGGCTTTAGTCTAGTGACTCTAGTCTAGTCTACCCAGTACGCACTACGCAGTTACCACTTACCACTCACCAACTGTGAACTGACCAGTATTCCCACGCAAATCTCCCACCGGAGATTCCCGCAAGGCAACTAAACCCATAAGAGCAAGAGTTAACGAGAGATCCGCGGCTGGTGGCTGGTGGCTGCTTCCATCGGTTGGGACTTGGGCGCTTGGGATAGGCCTACTCCGTAGATTACTACTCTCTGCGTGTCGTGATTGTGCGGGATGACTCAATGTAGATACTCCGTGGATTATGGTACTGTGGTAACTGGTACGGGAGGATTGTATAGGTGTACTCCGTAGTAGCTACGGAGTAGTAATGGTTATGTACCCCTGTGATATAGACTAGGGCCCCCGCCTCGGATTCTGGCTGGGGCAAGGGCAGTTAAGTGTGTATTCGTAACGCTGACACATCGGAGGTTGTTTTAGCTTGGTACCTAGGATGGAGAAGGAGGAGGAGGAGGAGGATTGTAAAGGACGAAGGGACAGGGGGAACTGGTTTATTTTGCTGAGTGGAGGATTATTGAATCAGGAGAGGGTAGTGTGTTTGTGAGTGCTGTTGTCTGTGATTCATGCAATAATAATTGGGTTCTTGTTGCTGCTCTGGAGGAGACCATCGTAGGCATGCGCCGAGGATATCATACATGGGCATCCATACGTTCCCTTCTTGTACAAACTCTGGCCGTAGTACCACAAGATATGGGCCAACTTCTATAGGTGTATATACATCCCAATGTCATAAGAATCATCACAATAGTTGACAGTTTAAACCAACCAATAGATATCTATCTAACCCTGTCACCAGCTAATCATCCCCCGTTCCCGATCAAACCCTCCTCGCAGCTGCAGCCCAGGCTTAACCACCTTGCCCTGCAGCACGGTATATCGGACGATATTCTCACAGTCCTCCGGCCGCACCCGCGCAAGCCAGATCCCCTGCGCCGCACCCTCGTCGACCTCCCCGGCCTCTCCTTCCCCCGTCTTCTCTTTCCGGTACCACTCAAAGTCCCGGCGCCGGTACACGATCACGTTCGCCGCGTACTTGTGGCCCCCGACGTGGCTGATGAAGTAGATGCCCACCCCGCCCGGCCGCTCGTCGTTCAGGTCCCGGTACATGCCCAGCGGGCGCAAATGGCGCTCGAACTCGCGGCGCAGCAGCGGCGCGGACTGGCCGCACCGCGCGTCCCGCGTGCGCTGCGAGCAGAGGAGGATCACGGCCGCGTGGCCACAGGGCCGCGACCGCAGCGGCGTGGATAATTGTAGGTCGGCCTGCGGCGACTGCTGCTGCTGCTGCTGCTCCGTCGTGTCTCTGGCATCATCTGTGTGTGTTACTGGCTCCGAAATGCTGCCCAGCGGCGTGGTGGTTGTCGCGGAGCGGTTGACAAAGTGCTTGATCAGGTCCGGTGCGAGAGCCGGCGTCACCTGCTCGACCACAGTGAAGCCGGGCAGGATGAGGACGTTGGTGGGCTGTTTGCCAGCCTCGTGGTAATGGTAATCGTCCGGGACGGGCATGTTGGATGCGGACAGCTTCAGGTTCTAGCGCGGCTTGGCCGTTAGCACTGACAATCTTGGGACGATGATACGACAGGCTGGATGTGATGGCATACCCCATTGCTGGGCACCAGTCCGCCCTTCTCAATCGCTTCCATCACGCTGCCCGGCTCGTCCGCAACGTCCCTCACCCAGTCCGTCTTGCCCGTGGCCACGAGCAGATGCGTAGCCCAGCCATTCACGTGCCCGTACAGCTCGTCCTCGAAATCCACGTCGAACTTGGCCGGATACTTCACGGTGCACGAGGCGCAGTCATGGAGACACTCCTCCCCGTCCACGGCGGGGTCGACTTTAGGGAAGAGCGCGTCGTGTGTGGGAGCCTTGCGGAAGTCCTCGATCTCCCCGCTTTCCTTAGGCGACTCGGACGGCGTCGAGCCGAATAGCGAGGTACCGCGACGGAAGAAAGCCTGCATTCTAGGCGAGTATATATCGATGCGGACTCGACCTCCGAAGGGTTGGTCTCAGGCAATACGATGATCGATCATGAAGGGGATCAAATCTTATCAAATCCGTTGCCCGCTGCGCCAAGCACGGATATCCTCCCGGCATATTGGTTGTCGGGGGAAAAAAGATCAGGTGCCGTATCTCCGATTGGCTTACGTCACGGATATGCCACTGACTGAAAGCACATGCGGGAAATCAATTGTTATCAGATCTACCCCTGGTAAAAGTCCAGGTAATATGTGCCATTGTCACATCCACGTTTATGCTCCAAAATCAAACTGATAGAGTTTATAATCTACTGCTCGTATGGCTATTCAAGGTATAAGCGTAGGGAAGATCCGACGGCCCATGTGCATCTACCAGGTGAATGACACTGCCACCAGAGCTGCCAGAGACGTTGGATTGTACTCTTCTGAGCGATCGCGTCGAGGGTGTGCGAGGAGTCGCCAATGTACGATACAGGGCGCCATGTCGAGCTGCAGTAGGCGATCCCCGGCTCGGCGTAGCCGGTGCAGTATGTGTTGAGCGGCGCTCCCAGGCCGACAAAGCATCTGAAGGATGCGAGATATTGCTCCGTCGCCGGGACAATGACTCGCTGTCATCGAAAAACTCCAATGTATCTGTCTCCCCTTCTTCATCCGATGGGCCAATTAGGGACTCGCTATCACCGCGAGAGCTTCCTCCTCTGATCTCATCTACCATCCTCTGATCCAGATCCGTCATCCCCCTCAGCACATCTGCAAAGACATGCATGAGCTCTCTGAACTCGTTGTCATGGAGTGTGCGTGACGAGAACCGAGTGCGCTCGTAACGCGCGACAAAGTCCGCACCAACCTCTGGAGGATTGACCAGATTCAACGCCGTGAGATGCTGCATGTACTCCCGCAGCCCCATCGATGCCGGCCTCCGTAGCACCTCCACCACCCGCGTATCCGGCACAGAGCGATCAGTTTCGGAGAAAGAGGTACCGAAGGGACGATGAGCCGCCACAAAAGGATCCGGCGGCGCCAGCGAAACGGCCTTCGCCTCGATGAGATGTGGCAGCTCCCGCACAACGGTGCGATACGGCAGATTTGGCAGATCCGGCGACGCAGGGGACGACCAGCCGGGATGCTCAACCCGACCCCAAGGCGGCCGGTCGCGATCCACCAGGAGCATCCGGTAGTCGGCGAATTTGTCTCCCTCAATTGCCAGATTGCGCGGGCGCGCCTGGTAGGCGATGATTGCGCTGCGTGCCAGCCCTTCCATCACCAGGCGCCGCACACTCTTGCCGACGTCTTCCTTCTCGACGGGGATCCATGCCTTGGGGATCGCGGAGAGGACGGTGCGATTCGTGTAGATCCGGGTCGCGTAGATGAGGGCGGCGAGGATAAATGTCGCCACGTATGCGCCGGTGATGAAGAAGATATTTGTGAGCCGGTGCGTTTTGTAGCATTGGTAGATCGCGTCCACGGGGGTCAAGATGATCAGGCAGAAGAGAACCACGGAGAAGAAGATAAAGGCCGTATAGTTAAGGATGCGGTAGAGATTCCAGGCCATAGTCACCCGCGCAGAGTCCTGCGCTGCGCAAATCGTGCCCTCATGAAGTCCCAGGACGTTTGCCGCATGAATGGATAGAAAGTGAAACAGTGTCTGGTTGTTGAAGAGCGTCCGCGGTCGCAATCATCTTCCCCCCGTATGCGGTAGGTGGTATCACGTGACAAGAAATAGGGGACACAACTATGCAATACACGCCAGACATTTCTCAGTGCTTCATCAATACGATTATGTTCTTTGTTTTGATCTGCAGACTGAGAAGAGCGTAGTTATGACAATAAAGAGTATGGATTCATCTATGCCTACCGTTGTACTACCGATGCCAATAATAGGGTTATTAATGAAAATGTCCAACGCTCTGCAACCAACGAAAGAACTAAGTAGGGATATCAAAAACGATCAAAGCTGACTCTGAGACCACCTAATCCGACACGGCAACTTCGTCTTCCCACTGTGGATCAATGCCATTGGCCAGAGGCGGGACTTGTTCTCCTCGAGCACGACGGATCACTCTCTCGATGCCATCCAGACCCTTCTCGAGGACATCCATCTTGGGACCATAACTCAGACGAACAAAGTGGTGGCAGGGACTATCGAACAGATCTCTTCTCTTGGCAGGGTTCAGATCGAAGAAGATACCAGGCACCACAATGACCTTCTCGGTCAGAAGGGCGTTGAAGAAGTTCAGCCCGTCGGAGATATTGGCCTTTTTGGGAAGAGGGGGCTCAAGGGAGGTCAGATCGAGCCAGATGTAGAAGGTGGCCTGAGGCACATCCTTGACACGGAAACCAATGTCATGCAGACGCTTCAGGACATAGTCTCGCTTTTCTCTGAAGTGGACCTGCAGTGCTTTCATCTCCTGGCGCACGAGAGATGGTTCGAGCATTGGAATGGCGGCCTCCTGGAAGGGCACGTTCGCGCCACCATCGAGGTAAGAGCCGGCAGAGCCGAGGGCATCAACGAACTCCTTGGGTCCCACAATCCAGGCGATACGCCAGCCAGGAAGACGGAAACGTTTGGTGAGACCGTCGATCAAAAGAACATCTGTTGCGATTAATATTAGCCTTGGCATGGAAGGAGAGAAGTGCAGGCAGTCAAACCATCTTGATTGACATCAACGACATTGGTGGCACCACTGATCGTCGAACCATCGCAGTCGGTGGTGTAGTTGTAACCTCCGTAGAACTCGTCCAGGATCAATGTGGCACGGTCTCTGCAGATGTCCTGAATCTGAGCGAGCTCCTTATCGGAAACAAAGTGTCCCGTGGGATTCCGGGGGTTCGAGGTCAGAAGGACGGAAGTTCCACGAGCAATCTCCTCGGCGATCTTATTGGGGTGGATATGGTAGTGGTCGTCTTCAGCGAGGGGGATGGGAATGGGAGCGATCTATGAGACGAAATCGGTGAGTAACTGTTCTCTCGCTATTTTCCAGCTCCACCGGAACTATAACCTCCTCGAACTTACATTCTTAAACAGCGTCAGCATCTCTGAGTACGCAGAGTAATCAGGGATAGGGAAGGACAGGTACGAATTGCCCAGGATCGCGGCAATCCGGATCAGACCTGCTCGGCCACCGGGCACGATGCAGACATTCTCCCAGGTATACTGGCTCTCCTTCCCCTGACGGTAATGCTCATTGTATAGTTTGGCAACGGCCGCACGAAGCGGCTTGATACCGGCGGTGGGACCGTACTCACGGGCAGCAGACGTGATGGGGATGGTGGTTGGCCGGGGAAAGCTGCCTTCGATCTCATCGTCGGCTTCGGGGGCACCCTGACCCAGGTTCGCCCAGGATGAAGGGTCTTCAGCGTATCCGTGCTCTACGGCGCGCTCAGTACACCAAACCACACCCGTCGAGGCACGGGAGGCATCGAGACCCGCGTGGGGACGGTGACCTTCGTGGGCGCTTCGGAATTGACGGTGTGTTTCGGAACCGAGTTCTAGAAGCAAGTCGCATTAGACATTTTCAGGTCATGTTTTTTTTTTTTTTTTACCCCTTTTTCTATATGGTTGGTGGATGTAACTATCGACGTGGGGTCGGCAGCATCTCCATCCTCGCATGAGAGGAAGATCTAGCGGGCTCGTCGACATGACGATAAGGAAGGAAACGCACCGTTCTCCGACAGCTCTTTTCCCAGAGAAAATCTCCGGTTGGAGGGACGCAGGATGCTCAGACGACGTCCGGAGAACGACATTGCTGCAGAGTGAGCTGAAGATGTAGGATGTATATAGAGATCTTCTTGGCAATGCCGGGATGAGCACCGGAGAGGTCAAGATATCCACAAGAGGTATTCGTATGAAACAGATGTAGGAAGTACAAACTGCAGTAGTGGACCTTTCAAAGGGATCTACTAGAAGATGTAAGTCCTGACTACCAACTAGATAGATAGATAGATAGATGGAAGCTGGGAAACAATGAACAAACAAATAATATCAGGAGAAAGACAAAACAAGAAAAACGGGGGATAAGAGAAACCCCGCCCACGCCCAGCGATCCAGAGTGCATTTTTATATGTGTTCTGGACGAACAACTGAACAACATGATCAATGAGAGCAAATTTCCAGCTGCCATCATTCTCTACATCTTACTGGGCTGTTGAGATAGACCCAGAAACAAATCACATCCACCCCCCCCCCAATGCGCCTCTGTTTTCACCTAGTAGTACGTAACCAGGAAACCCCCATTACTATTAATCCCGCAGTCGCAACACTAAGGAGTTAAAGACAGCAGCAGCCATGGTCATGGTCCATGGACCATATAGTAAGTACAGAAACGAGCTCAACTCTCCCTGAGTGTCTCTCTCCTTTTTTCCTATTTCACTCCCTACAAGAGAGAACTCTACTAATAATCCATCTACTTATAGATACGGAGTAGTTACTCCGTCCATGGAATATCGACGGGAGAAGAAACGAAAATAAAATGCCTCATTCATCTCCCTCAGAGAACCACCTCCAGACCGCTGCGCTGAGTTCCAGCCCGATCTTCAATCCCGATCGACAGCCTAAGGCGTTGGGCGCCCCATTTCAATCGGATTCTACCCGACCTCAAGGGCCAAGAGTAAGACTCAGTAACTGGTTAGTCAGTCCTCCCCTAGGATGTGGGATGTGAGACTAGTCTACTACCAGTCTAGTCAGGTTCGGTACCCGTGTATCACTATCGCTACGAGAGCCTACGACTGCCAGGGAACCAGGCAGCGATATCGTTAGCGAGATGACAAGAAAATATATCCATCGTCTGGGTTGAAAACTTGAAACGGGGGTAGGAAGTGATGCGGGCTCTGGCAGCCTGGCAGGTCTGCAGGAGACATCCATGCCTACCCAACATCCACAGTTCCAGCTTCGAGAAAGCTGTACTGCCCACTGTGAAGGTAGCCAGGTAACTACTTTGTACGTAAAGGTACCAAGCTTCCAGGTGCAGGGCTAAATCCAGTCCACGGATCCACCGGTCCACATCCACATCCCCTGAACTGGAAGTCTGGAACAGAAACTTGATGGATTATGGATCATGGCTGGAATGATCACCCAGAGAGGCGGAAAATGTCGCATGGAAATGGATAACCCACCCCGATCAAGTATCTTTCTAGAACAGGATCAGGATTGCTACTTACGGAGCAAATCTATATATATTTATATATATTTATATATATAACGACATGGTTCTCACAATAATCAGCCTTATGAAGTTACGGCAATGTCGGTCTGACATCCACCTGATGATATCCAAACACAATGAATAATTCAAAACTACAGAATAGATATCAACTAGATTTCCGAATCGTGTCGCGCTCAGATAGATGGAAAAATCCCTAAGAGAACAAAATCACAAGTACGCGAAAAGAAGAAAGAATCGAGGGGACAAAAGACCAGCCCTGAAAGCCAAAAACCACCATACAGCGTATCTCTTGATAACCTCGAAGACGCTGTTTTGCTCAACAGAGAGAAAAATAACTCAGCGGTATACATACATCATGCAGTCATGGTTCGTAGACGTGGCAGGAACAAGATCAAAAGAACAATAAATGAAACCAGTCATGATCAGGATCTCCTTTCCACCGGAGAAAAGAGACCCCCAAAAGCACGAAATCGGAGGGGTAGATAGGGATGGGATTCAGCGTTGGAAGAGATTGCACAATGCTCTCCTCTCCTCGGTGATCAACACAGGGGACAATGCAACCGAAGTCGTTCCCCACATTGCCTGCAAGGTTCAGAATGACTTCTTGACAGCCTCAGGCCAAGCCAGTTGGGGAGTGAGCTGGGAAATCCAGGAGACGAGGCCGAGAGATCCGACGGAAAGAGAGAACGTGCCCCCCTGCCAGGAGTTCGCCGTGCTCAATGACGGGAAACCCAGAACAGAGGGCAGTGCGAAGAAAAGATGAAGATGAAGAGGGAAGAAAACTAATCAAAGAGCAAGTCATCAGGAGAGAGCAGTCGAGCTCTGAATCTATCACGTCTAATTATCAACCACCTGGCAATAAAGCTCAATCTCGCCGACCTGGCCACGCGCAAGCATGTCCCGATGCTGCTCACGCCACTCCATGAACGCGAGCTGCACCGCTTCGTCACTGTCAATCGTGACAAAATCCCCATCCTCATCGCGATAGCGCAACCGAACCGACCTGTTGCCGATGGACCGGTTAGTAATCCGGGCCAGCTTGGCATCCACGCGATCCGTAAGCGATCGGAACATGATATTGCTGGCAATGACCAGAGTGACATAGTTGTCATCAAAGTTCACTTTGGCTTTAAGTTGAGTCGGCATGAGAGGCTCCTCTTCCGGATCCAGGCTCAAGGGTGAAGTTGGCTGATCAGAAGCGGGTCCCATGGCCCGCGATTCAGAATATTGGGGCTCATTGAAGTGAGTGGGGGCTGGCGGGTTCGGGGTGGCGTTTCGGATTGGGAGGTTGATGCTGGTAGGCGAATTGTTTTGACTTCGGTTTACCGGCGCCTTCATGCTGGCCATGTGAGCGGGGATCGGCGGGACTGGGACGTTGTCCACTGTCTGCATCATGTGCGCCCCCATGTATCGACGCGATTCGGGGTTGTGGTGGTGGATGTCCGGGCTACTCGCCGATCGCATTCTTTGTGCCATGCCGTTGGCACTGCTCTGACCCTGAGGTCCTGCCAAGGGTGGCAACGAGGGTCGAGTACCTCGTCCGTTGGGTGCATTATTGAAAAAACTAGGTCCATCCCTAGATACGCCACGCGAGAGTGCAGGGGCAGTATATCGGTTCGGCTCCTCGTTCCAATTGTTGGACGGCGTGCCTTGACGCCCATATGGATACACGGTGGATTGAGAACTAGACCTTGCCGACGGTGTCTCGGCGACAGGAGAAAAGTAGGAGTTAATGTTTCGCTCTGCAGGCGACATGCTGCCACTCGAAAATTGAGTATGCACGGACAAACTGGGATCGGGTGGGAAGCGGGGGTTTCGACCAGACGACAGTGGAGGGCCTGAGCTACCACTTCCCCCCGTGGCAGACCGTGTTCGAAGACTTGTGCTGGAGGCATTGCGGCTCATGGGGAACTCGGAGAAGAAGGCTGCCTCTTTGGTTGCTTGTTCTTCGGCATCGTACTCCTGCTGGTAAGGGTTTGGAATACTCGCCATCCCCTTCATATACATAAACTCTGTTTCCGAAGTACCTGTATTCCGAGCGCTTCGCTGTTCTGCTTGGATTGCCCGCTGGTTGTCAATATCCTTATACCACTTGCGCATAACATCCTCATTCTGGTAGCGTATAATGAAATTGTCCACCACGCCGGGGTCGCCCTTCCAGAAGATTTGAATCCGATAAGAACCTGTAGAGAGAAATCTCTTGTTAGGCAGCATGAACAGATGTCTAAAAATCAATCAATCGTACCTGGTTTTTGAAGGCAAACGATATCCGTCACGTTGGCCATATAGATGCGGCCTTTGAGCTGAAGACGTGGCTTGCCTTTGATAGTTGCTGATGGTTTATCCTTGCTGACCATCAATTTCGTTTTCTGTTTGTTCGGGTTGATATCCTTGCAGCAGAGAAGAATCCGCTCGAAAAGATAGATGTGATACTGATAATAAAATGGGTTAGCATGAACCCCCCGCTGGTTTGTGACAACAACGAGGATGAATTGCAAATGGATGTGGAGGAAATAGGAAATGGGAACAGGTATGACGGGAGAGGAAAGGCAGTGATGGAGAGAGGCTGATCTTGCGTATGAACCAGACGACGATGCAACCAGATCCACAGGAAAAGCCTGTCAAGGGACCAGACGAATTTCGCAGTAGCATATTTACAAAGGGTACCAACCTCTCGCTCGGAGTCCTTGCCGGTGTCCCCTTTCAGGACTGTGAATGTCCCATAACGAAGCAAATCGCCAAAAGAGTCGATCTTGAGGGCCTTCCAGTCGTCTACCCTTTCGTCCAGATCCATGAATGCCGAAGCTAGGTGTTCCTTGTCGATCGCGTCATTTGCAGAATCGAGAACAGACTGAATTGCATCAATAGCTTTTGTGATATCGGCTTGAAGTTCTAAGTTGTCGGTTTGTTTGCGCAGCTCCTACAAAACGGGGAATAAGTCATTAGAAAGCTTAACGGGTCGCTGGGAGTCGACGCACCATGAGCATCAAAGGATATTTCGTTAACCGTTGGAACGGTTTGACGAAGAAGCCGTTCAGCGTGGCAGGCTGAGCGACCATCTGTTGGAGATCGAGCAGCCGGGGCGCTGCCCGGATCTTTTCCCACTCCTTGAGGCAAGCCTCATCGCAGCGCATCTGATTCGAGATGAACGGCTCGTACTGTCGGAAAGCTTCTTCATGCTGAATGAAAAGCTCGCCCCAATTCTGTCGTTCCTCCGGCAGGGCGTAGTGCTGTTCCATGCGAATGAGAAATCGTTGGGCGAAATCGAGGAGGTTGTTCAGGTTGAGGAAGATCTGGTGGCTGGCGTCTCCCGTTAGAGCCCCTGTCTCCTCCAACTCCTTTTTGAGAGCCTGTAGATTCTGCAAATGGTGAACATAATCACGCTCCGTCTCTAACAGTTCCTTAAGAATATGCTCCCGCTTGGTCAGCTTCACCGCCCCTTTCTCTGGAACCGCCGTCGTGGAATCGGATGGTCGCTTCAGCTGTCCCTGCATTTCGAGGATGTCCAACACTCTGTTCACCATCTTAATCACCTTAATGAAGCCGGTGGTGCTGTCGCCATACAGATCGGTAATGAGGAAGCAGTCCTGTTGAGGAAAAGCTAGCTCCTGTAGCGACGCCTGGAGGAACTTGAAGGTGGCGGCCTTGGGCCGCTTTGCTTCGGGGACCTTGCTGGGATCGATCTCGAGGAACTCTTCCGGGTCAGAGGCGTTGTAGATGGTCAACAAGGGGTATCCATTGCGAAGACAATTCCAGAGGGATGCCACGGGGTCGGTGTTGCCCTGCTGCTCATCCAACTCCTCCATCTCTTGCATGTGGGGTTCGAAATTCGGGACCTCCGCCAGGCGCTTCTTCAGATTGACGCAGCTCTGATAGATTGATTCCCCACCGCGACGATTGATGATATTGTCCTCGGCGATAGGACCGCCATTTGAGATCATGGGCTCTATCATCTTGGCTGTCCACCACTTGAGACCGTGGTGGCACCAAGCACCAGTGTGAAGGTCGATTCAGACCCGCGCGGCAGCGGACCAGGTGACGGAGGAGAAGAGGATCGCAAACGGTCGGGGAACGAGAGTAACGTCGAGCATGGATCGTTTGACGGGGGAGTATATCGAGCTGGTGGATCGATGTTGGATGGAAGGTGAGGTATTTTGGGGGGGGGGAGGATGGGAGTTCTCTGGGGGGGGCAAGGTTGGTTTGGGTTGTGAGGGAAAGGAGAGTGGAGATAGTGTAGTGGTATGGTGAAGTATCCCTATGGTCGAGCCAAACGACGAAGCTTTGCGCGCCCTAAGTCTGGAGAGGCGTCAAAAATGAGATAAGCAGGTTAGCAAGCAACAGCAGTAAGGTAAGTATGTAGGATTCTAGGTAGATAGAGAGAGCTCCAATATTAAATACCCTGGTTGCAGGGGGAATGCGCTCTGCTCTGCTCTGCTCGTCTCTCGTCTCTCCTTTCTTGCCTGCGTTTTTATCCTATCTATTGATTCTGGTTTAATTCTCCGACCCTTGCTGCTAATAGCCTCCCCCCAAGTGATTATTATGAATATTTGTATTTTTGGGAAATCCTCAGGAGGTCGAGAATAAAATAAAATAAAAGAAAATAAAATACAGGGTGAGTGTGGGGTTTTACTGCTGCAGGCGGCCTTAAGGGAGGAATCGATCATAAGCGTCTCTCACAGCCCAAGAAAGGGAGGTAGAAGGATGTGAGAATTGGGGGATCAGATCAAACAATATCTAGTAGATACCAAAAGAGACAACCTCTTCTGTGATGATTCTGTCAGAGAATAGATAGAATAGCCAGGAAGAGGAAGGGAGATTTTCTGGAATAGCGTTCAGCACTGTATGTACATATCCTGTGAATGTTGTAACTTGTAAGGCTGCTACCTATCTGGAGAGAGAGTGAGGGGCATAAGATAGCGTGGATATTGCAGTAGTGAATCTTTAATTAGTAGGACTAGTGACAAGATGCCTGTTAGAGAGACTACTCTCCTCCATAGCGAAGATGAAAAGGAGACTGAAATCTTCATAAACAATAAGGAGAATAATTGTTTGCTCACAGTATGTATTTATCAGAGGTGGAGTTTGTATTGGTGAGATACCTGGGAATGTCTACATGGAACTGAAGTCTCCAGGCAGATCCCACTGCAATAGCTAAGGAGTAGTACAGGGATTTTTTGGTACCCTGCAGATACTACCTATCTACCTACTTATTGTGATCTATATATCTTGCTGTTCGAGCTCTGTTCCTCGTCCCCTGACTATACTCTACGCCATTATGAGGTACCTCGTATCTGTGGATTTGGATGACAGCAAACTTCTGGAAGAGTTATAGTCCTCCTAAATGAAAGCCCCTGTCGGTAGTTGTGGGCTTCATTACCCAATTCGACTTCCTAGTCAAGGTTGCTGCCGGCTCTTTTCCTCGTGTGAAGAATGATCTAAATGTCAATACTACCGGTGTAAGTATGATCAAAACCGAATACTAGTTGCAGTAATGTTCATGCAAGCCAATATCTTCGTCTGGGACTCCGTCTTGGTGAGGAAGAACAAGAGAACAACAATACGCAAGTCTAAATCATCAATCACTTTGACATCTCCATGGCTTCCATAAAGCACAACTTGATGGAAGTATTCCCAACACTCAAGGGAAGAGGAAGACAGTAGCCTGGGCCGCAAATGGACAAGCAGAGTATTGCTGGCTCAAATTCTGGAGTCTCTTCGGTGATTTTTTGTCCTGCATACACAGTATGTGTTCACCACAAGGGTTCGACGTGCTTGACTGAGGATGCCTGGGCATCCCAAACAAGGAGTAGCTGTGGGCTTCTGCTTCCGAGCCTAATTAGCTGCCAATTGCCAGCTCACAGAACATGTAAGGGATGAAAACAACCAGGGTGCATGGGAAGGTGAACGAAGAGGTTGAAAGCTTAAACAGTTTGAGGCGAACCATACCACCGTCCCAAAAGTTCTTTGTATAGTCTATCTTTCTCCTGGTTGAGCTTTCAGTAGAAAATTTTCCAAGGAGATAGAGAGAAGGGTATCGAGAGCAGGTAAGATTGACTCAATATCAGAGCCATGACTGCTCTGGAGTATAGAAATGTGCTCATCCAAAAATACCACTATTTTGACGAAAGTTACATGGTGGTCCTTCGGAGCAAAGTGCCAGATGCCCTGTTTAAGCAGATGGTATATATCATGAGGAAGGTCTAGAAACTAAGGTATGGCATTGTCGTTGGTCTTGAGGCTCGCCTAGTCGCCTGATTAGGCTTAGCACCACTCATAGAGAGGTGGATATCCGCTTTTATTAGATAGTTTCCCTCTTTTAGATAGTAGTAGTATTATTAAGAATTACAGAGTACTTATATTCCACTAATCTAGATGATCTACTGTGTAGATAGGCTTTATCTTCATGCCTCAATAATACCGTCCCGTCTCTTCCACTGGCCGGGTGGCATCCACCCCGCGGTCTAGGTAGATGCCAACGGCAACATCACCACCGAACAGGCCAATGAGGAGGCCAAAGGGTGGTTACTCTTTGTGGAGGTCAGAAATCCTGCTCCAAAGTTTGTGTGTTGTATATAGAAAAGCGATGATAATAGCTTTTATATTTGATGATTTCAGGAACAATGGGTCCCCCATGCAATCGCCAACATCCCTGACGAAGATGGAGATTATGAGGTTCGCCAACAACAAGCACTACAGATCATTGCACAATTGCCCTGCCTACCCTGGATACTGCAAGGCTACAATCAAACCCTTAGCTGAAACCACTAGTCCATATTCAGCTAGGGAGTAATTAGTAATATGATTCTGTAACATAACAATTCTGATTTATAACCAACTTTCAGAACAATGTAGCTGTAATTTACTAGTATTATATAGAGGGTCATTCTATACACTGTAGTACACATTATCATTCATTAACTTATAGCTTATATACCTATATCCTCCTGAATTATCTTAGCTATCTCTCATTAAATATGGCACCCAACTTACTGCCATCAAAAATCTAGTTAATTTATGATTTAGCTAAGAATGGATTTTTAATAGCTAAGACTACTAAAGCAGCTAAGTGTAGTAATCAGGCAGTAAAATATATCTACTCTAATCTTTAAGCCTTTAGTTTACTTAGGGCACCACTAAATTACACTGAGAGAAGGAGAAATATTACCTTAGTCATGCTAGAAGCTCTGTGTGGTCACCTTCTAGAGAAGCCAGGCTTATACTTAGATGAAATAGTAGTTTTCCTATAAGATGAATTTAACCTCTAAATAATAATAAGTTGTATAAGCAGAGCACTTTCCTTAATTAGTTAATCTGAGAAGGTAATTTAATAAAAGGTAAAAGAGCAGAATCTCAATCTTGGAGATAACTACTACAATGATATCTCTAAGTTTAGATTATATTAATTATGTGATATCAGTGAATGAATATCATGAGTAGATCAATGAGTATTAAGGTTAACTCTAGGTTACCAAGGTCAACCTAAGAAATCTCTATAATATCTATGACTTATCTTTAGATAGATAGCTAGTAGCTAGGTATAAATAGAAGATCTTACCCTAGGTAAGTAAAGAGGTATTATTCTAGCCTATCTCTCTTTATCTTTAGTAATACTATTATATCCTTAGTAATTCTATCTAGTAGTATATTAAAAGTTATAAATAATAAGAAATTAAATACTCTTACTTTACTAGATTTATATTTATCTTAGTAAATACCTACTACTCTTCTCTATAAGTAACTACTAAATTTAAGCTAAAAGATAGTAGGGTAATTATACTTAGTAAAGAGTTTTTATTATAGGAGAACTCTCTACTAAGTCTTATTAAGAGAGATAAAAATAAAATAAGATATAGTAACTCTAGACTAGAGAAGTATTACTTAGTTACTAAAATAAATTCTAATAAAAAATAATCCCTATAAGATAATATCCTCTAATCTTCTTACTAGAACTACTAATAATAACTAGCTACCTATAGTAAATAATCCTACTAGAGATCTACTAAAGAATATAAAATAAGCCTTTATTAAGTTATTTAAGATAGTAGCCTAAGAAGCACTACTTACTAATATTAATATATTTTTTTAAAGTATTTATTAAGAGTAATATAATAAATAAGTACTATCTCTAGGATTATAAGAGATAAATTATTATTATAGATTATTACCTATCTTTAAGATCTTAAATCTTACTCCTATCCTAGAGTATAAAGATATATATATAAAAGATATTATCTAAGAATAATAAAAGAGAGTTAAGAAATATTTTAAGAATATCTTACTAGTAATAAGAAGAGTTCCCTCTAATCTAGAATACCTTATTATTATTATTAAGTAAAAACTTATAGGATATACTTATAAGAGATAGAAAGTAGATAAAACCTAATTATAGATTAATCCTATACTAGTAATTACTAATATAGAAATCTTTTATATATAGCTACTAAGGAACTTTAAGGAATATAATATAAATAATAAAAGATAGAAGGAATATAAAAGCCTTATCTAAGTTCTATAATCTATATAGCTATATATTACTATCTTAGGTAAAGCTATAATATATATCTCTCCCCTAGTATATAAAGCTTCCCTTATTTAAAAATTTATTATTAGGAGTTAACTAAAGCTTAGGAAAAGATAGATAGAGGATTAAATATAATTATAAATATATAATAAAATAATTAAATACTTCTCCCTCTATAAGAATAGCTTAGCTACTACTTAATAACTTAGAGATAACCTATAGTTAAAACTATAATTTAACTAGTATAATAGAGATCTAATAAATCTAAGTATAATTACTAACTCTCTCTAGCTAAGGAGAAACTTCCTATAATTAAATAAGAGTTTACTAAAGTAGAAATTATAATATTACTAGAATAAAGTATATTTTATATATAATAAAACTAAATATCTCTAACTATACCCCTTAAAGATAATAAAAAATAAGAAAGAT